AAGGAACACGTTCTAACTCAATGCAAAGAAACCAAAAACCTTGAAAAGAGGTTAGACAAAATGCTAACTAGAATAACCAGCTTAGAGAAGAACATAAACGACTTGATGGAGTTGCAAAACACAGCACAAGAAGTACGTGAAGCAAACAAAAGTTTTAATAGCCGAATCGATCTAACAGAAGAAAGGATATCAGGGACTGAAGATCAACTCAATGAAATAAAAAGAGAAGGCAAGACAAGAGAAAAAAGAGTGAAAAGAAATGAACAAAGCTTCAAAGAAATATAGGATTATGTGAAAAGACCTAATCTACGCTTGATAGGTGTACCTGAATATAATGGGGAGAATAAATCCAAGCTAGAAAACATGCTCCAGGATATCTAGGAGAACTCCCCAAGCCTAGTAAGGCAGTCCAAGTTTCAAATTCAAGAAATACAGAGAACTCTAAAAAGATATTCCTCAAGAACAGCAACCCCAAGGCACATAATTCTCAGATTCACCAGGGTTTAAACGAAGGAAAAAATGCTAAGGGCAGCCAGAGAGAAAGGTCAGGTCACCCAAAGAGGGAAGCCAATCAGACTCAGAGCAGGTCTCTCAGCAAAACCCTACAAGCCAGAAGACAGCGGGGGCCAATATTCAACATCCTTAAAGAAAAGAATTTTCAACTGAGAATCTCATATCCAGCTTCGTAAGTGAAGGATAAATAAAATCCTTTATGGACAAGCAATTACAGAGAGATTCTGTCACACCAGACCTGCCCTACAAGAGCTCCTGAAAGAAATACTAAGCATGGAAAGGGACAAGTACCAGTCACTGCAAAAGCAAACCAGTGGGCAAAGACCAAAAATGCAATGAAGAAAATGCATCAACTAATGGGAAAGAAAACCAGCCAGTAACAAAACGGCAGGATCAAATTCACACATAACAATAGTAACATTGAATGTAAATAGCCTAAACACCCCAATCAAAAGGCACATACTGGCAAACTGGATAAAAAGTCAGAACCCATTGGTGTGCTGTATTCAGGAAACCCATCTCACATACAAAGACACATGTAGACTCAAAATAAAGGAATGGAAAAAGGTTTACCAAGCAAATGGAGAACAAGAAAAAGGGTTTGCAATCCTAGTCTCTAATGAAATGGACTTCAAACCAACAAAGATCAAAAGGACAAAGAAGGACACTACATAATGGTAAAAGGATCAATCCAACAAAAAGAGCTAACTATCCTAAATATACATGACCCAACATAGGAGCACCTAGATACATAAAGCAAGTTCTTAATGACCTAAAATGAGATTTAGACTCCCACGCAATAACAGTGGGAGACTTCAGCACTCCACTGTCAATATTAGATGGATCAACTTGACAGAAAATTAACAAGGATATCCAAGACTTGAATGCAGAGCTGGACCAAGTGGATCTAATAGACATATACAGAACGATCCACCCCAAATCCACAGAATATACCTTTTTCTCAGCAACACATTGCTCTTACTCTAAAATTGACCACATCATTGGAAGTAAATCACTCCTCAGCAAATGTAAAAGAATGGAAATCATAACAAACATTCTATCAGACAACAGCACAATCAGACTAGAACTCAGGATTAAGAAACCCACTCAAACCCACACAACCACTTGGAAACTGAACAACTTGCTTCTGAGTGTCGACTGGATAAACAATGAAACAAAGGCAGAAATAACGATGTTCTTTGAAACCAATCAGAATGAAGACACAACTTACCAGAATCTCTGGGACACCTTTAAAGCAGTGCCAAGAGGGAAATTCATATCAATGAATGCCCACATGAGAAACAAGGAAAGATCTAAAATTGACGCCCTATCATCAAAATTGAAAGAGCTATAGGAGGAAGATCAAAAAAACTCAAAAGCTAGCAGAAGACAATAAATAACTAAGATCAGAACCGAACTGAAGGAGATAGAGACACAAAAAAACCTTCAAAAAATCAATAAATCCAGGAGCTGGTTTTTTGAAAAGATCAACAAAATAGATACACCAATAGACAGATTAATAAAAAAGACAAGAGAGAAGAATCAAATAGATGGAATAAAAAATAAAAAAGGGGATATCACCACTGATCCCACAGAAATATAAACTACTGACAGAAAGTACTATAAACAGCTCTACTCACATAAACCAGCAAATCAGGAAGAAATGGATAAATTCCTAGACACTTGTACTCTGCCAAGACTAAATCAAGAGGAAGTTGAAACCCTGAAAAAACCAATAACAAGGGCTGAAGTAGAGGCAGCAATCAATAGCCTACCAACCAAAAAAAGTCCAGGTCCAGATGAGTTCACAGACAAATTCTACCAGATGTACAAAGAGGAGCTGTATGAAACTGTATCAAACAATACAAAAGGAGGGAATCCTCCCTAACTCATTTTATGAGACCAACATCATCCTGATACCAAAAGCAGGCAGAGACTCAACTAAAAAAGAAAACTTCAGGCCAATAACCATGATGACCATAGATGCCAAAATCTTCAATACAATACTGGCAAACAGATTGCAACAGCACATCAAGAAGCTTATCCATCCCAATCAAGTAGGCTTCATCCCTGGGATGCAAGGCTGGTTCAACATATGCAAATCCATAAATGTAATCCATCACATACATGGAACCAAAGACAAAACCACATGATTATCTCAATAGATGCAGATAAGGACTTTGACAAAATTCAACAGTGCTTTATGCTAAAAACTGTCAATAAACTAGGTATTGACAGAACATATCATAAAACGACAAAAGCTATATATGACAAACCTACAGGCAATATCATACTGAATGGGCAAAAGCTGGAATAATACCCTTTAAAATCAGGCACTAGACAAGGATGCCCTCTCTCTCCACTCCTATTCAATATAATATTGGAAGTTCTAGCCAGAGCAATCAGGCAAGAAAAAGAAATAATGGATATTCCATTAGGAAAGGAGGAAGTCAAACTCTCTCTTTGGAGATAACATGATTGTATATCAAGAAGATCCCATCATCTCAGCCCAAAATCTTCTCAAACTGATGATAAGCAACTTCAGCAAAGTCTCAGGATACAAAATCAATGTGCAGAAATCACAAGCATTCCTATATACCAATAACAGACAAACAGACAAATCAAGAGTGAACTCCCATTCACAATTGCTACAAAGAGAATAAAATACTTAGGAATACAGCTAACAAAGGAAGTAAAGTACCTCCTGAAGGAGAACTGCAAACCACTCCTCAATGAAATAAGAGAGGACACAAACAGATAGAAAAACATTACATGCTCATGGTTAGGAAGAATTAATATTGTCAAAATGGTCATACTGCCCAAAGTAATCTATTGATTCAACACTATCACCATCAAGCTACCAATGACCTTCTTCACAGAACTGGAAAAAACCACTTTAAACTTCATATGGAATCACAAGAGAGCCTGCATAGCCAAGACAATCCTAAGTAAAAAGAACAATCCTGGTGACATCACACTGCTGGACTTCAAACTATACTACAAGGCTACAGTAATCAAAACAGCATGGTACTGGTACCAAAACTGAGATACAGACCTATGGAAGAGAACAGAAATCCCAGAAGAAACACCACACACCTATAACCATCTGATTTTTGAAAAACCTGGCAAAAACAAGCAATGGGGAAAGGACTCCATGTTTAATAAATTGTGTGGGGAAAACTGGCTAGCCATGTGCAGAAAGCAGAAACTGGACCCCTACCTGACATCTTACACTAAAATTAACTCCAGATGGATCCAAGATTTAAACATAAAACCTAACATCATAAAAACACTAGAAGAAAACCTCGGCAAAACCATCCAGGACACAGGCATAGGCAAGGACTTCATGACTAAAACATCAAAAGCAATGGCAATAAAAGCCAAGATAGAGAAATGGGATCTAATCAAAATTCAGAGCTTCTGGACAGCAAAATAAACCATCATTAGAGCGAATCAGCAACCAACACAATGGGAAAAATTTTTTACAATCTACCCATCTGACAAAGGGCTAATATCTAGAATCTACAAAGAACTAAAACAGATATACAAGAAAAAAAAAATTCAAAAGTGAGTGAAGGATATGAACAGACACTTTTCAAAAGAAGACATAGATGAGGCCAACAAACATATAAAAAATGCTCATCATCACTGGTCATTAGAGAAATGCAAATGAAAACCACATTGAGATATCATCTCGTGCCAGTTAGAATGGCAATCATTAAAATATCTGGAGACAACAGATGTTGGAGGTGATGTAGATAAATAAGAACACTTTTACACAGTTGATGGAAGTGTAAATTAGTTCAACCACTGTGGAAGACAGTGTGGCAATTTCTCAATGATTTAGAAATAGAAATTCCATTTGACCCAGCAATCCCATTACTGGGCATATACCCAAAGAACTACAAATTGTTCTACTATAAAGACACATGCACACATATGTTCACTGCAGCCCTGTGTACAATAGCCAAGACCTGGAATCAACCCAAATGCCCATCAATGATAGACTGGACAAAGAAACTGTGGTACACACACACCATGGAATATTATGCAGCCATAAAAAACGATGAGTTAATGTCCTTTGTAGGGACTTGGATGAATCTGGAAACCATAATTCTCAGCAAACTGACACAAGAACAGAAAGCCAGACATCACATGTTCTCACTCATAGGTGGGTGTTGAGCAGTGAGAACAGGTGGACTCGGCAGAGGAGCATCACACACTGGGGGCAGTTGGAGGGGGTAGAGGAGAGACAGCGGAAGGTGGGGAGGGAGGGGAGAGTGGAGAGGGATAACATGGGGAGAAATGCCAGATATAGTATGCACCTAAAATTAAATTTAAAACAATCTCTATATATAATAACGAATAAAAACTACAAAATAAACCTTCTAAAAATAGTAACTTGGAAGAGAAATTATGATGGACATCTGGAACTGTCCTATGAGGTTCAGTCAAAACCTAGGCAGAAATAACACATAAATTCTTACCTGTCTTCCTTTATTCTTGCCAGCAAAGGCTCCAGCCATCCTAACGTGCATTCACAGTGTGCATCAAGAAAAGTTATGACCTGCCCTTTTGAAGCAGCTGCTCCTCGAAGACGGGCACGTATTAACCCAGAACGTTCTTCCATCCTAATAATTTTTACTGGCACTTCTAAATTTTTCACGTAATTCTCTAGTGTCAACTTGAGAAAATCTGTAACGTGCAATAAAAATTTACAAGAAAAAATTTTGAAACTGTTTTAAGACATAGCAGAGATACTATCAAGATGGTAATTCAACACACAGAAATGGTGGCCAATTTCTATCAGTATTTTTTGCCTTAGATATAAAACAGTAGAGATTTCATCAGTTAATTAATGTCATGTATCCATAAAATCATATGAATGCTCAATAATATCAGTTGAGTTAAAAAAAGATGTATTTTTGAAAGTCATTTTGACTGAATTTTTAGGTTAAGAGCAATATAGAATCATGAGAGAAAGTGAAAGGATTATTTGCTTCTAGAGTTGGCATTAATGAGGTTATTGATGAGAATTTGATAGGCTGTGGCAGAGCTAGTAAATTTATAACGCAAATATAGGTAATTGTGTAGTTATCTTTTTGGCCATAATAAAGCTTCTTAATAACAATACAAAAAAAACAAAGTTTGTACCTCTTTCACTGGCATCATCTACCAGGATGACCTCAGAGAGCAGATAGTGTGGGGAACGATTTATCACACTGTAAACAGTTCTAAGGAGAGTGCTCCAAGCTTCATTATGAAATACAATGACTACACTTGTGTTGGGAAGTTCATCAGGGTAGACTTTTGTCTTACATCTGAAAAAGAGGAAATAATAAATGCATTTTTATCCTGATTATTATAAAAAGAAATATCCATAATAACATAACTTCAGGCTTGAAAGTCCCTTACTAAGGAAATGTTTTACGAATATCTAAAATCATTTTCCTTTTATAAGTACTGTGAGTAATCACTTGGCATTTTGAAAATTAAATATGCATAATTACTAATATTTTTATTTTAACAGCAGGAGAGAACAAAGCAGCATGATTTGTACAAGTCTAAGAAAAACCTAAGAAATATAAAATATTCTGAGACTATTGATAAAAGACCCCATACACCAAGTACAAATGAGTTCATTTAGTGAATATAATTTTATTGTTTGTTAAAAACAATTGTTTAACTCAAGAAGTCATAGGAACATAAACAGACATGTGTGCCCAGGGTCGTGAAGTAGGTAAAACTGAGATTTTCTGTTCTAAATCCAGTCATGTATGATTCTAACTGCATTTGAAGATGCTATAAACGTCTACTTCCAAGGAAAGGTTTAGGTTTCCTTTAGATTCAGAATCTACTAAATGCATCCTGGCCTCTAAAATGTCCTTATGTTTTGGAGATCAGGAAATGAAATGGCCTACCAGCATTTCTCAAACTTTAATGTGCATAGGCACTGATATGGAATTGTTGGGAAGGAGAGAGCTTGGTCCCTTTAAATGACATGGAAGGGAGAAGGGAAGTACTGGGTAGAGGAGAGCATGGTCCTTCACTAGGGCTCCACCCCCACAGAGACTGGGTGAAGACAGGCATTTCCTGACCAAATGTTGCAGTTCCCAAGACCACCCTGGCTTGCCATCCTTACCCTAGCAGGCAGACACACAAACTGCTGGACAGCCAGAGGGGCAGGTCTGCCCAAGAAGACACAGCAGGATGTAGAGAGGAGCACATCAGTGGAGTAAAGGACCAGGGGCTGGACATGGAGAGGGACTCACCCATGGGCACGGCATGCCAGCAGGCCATAGACCAATGGGAAGAAGTGGAATTTGGCACAGGCAGTCAGAGGAGAGTCCAGGTCACTGAACTGTCTGAGTCCAGGGGAATACCTTTCCACTCCATCTCCCTTTTGGCTTCCCCCATGCATGTGCTGAGAGCTACAACCACCCAATAAAACCTTAAACTCAATCTCCAAGTCCCATTGTGATCTGCTTCTTCTGGTTCATAAAGGCAAGAACCCAGACACAGCAAGTCCTCTGTCCCTGTGACAAGGTAGTGACAAGGTAATTGAGCTGGTTAACACAAGCTGCCTATAGAGAGCAAAATTAAAAGAGCACATGGTAGCACTTGCCCACTGGGGCTTCAGGAGCTGTAAACATTCACCCCTAAACATGGCTGTGGGGTCGGAGCCCCACGACATGCCCATCCTTATGCTCCCCTTGAGGTTTGAGCAGAGAGGCACTGAAGCAGCAAGCCACAGCCCCATCACACCCTCTGTGAGGGACACAAGGCAACTTTTCCCATTTCAGCATCATCTGGAGATGTGTTTAAATGCAGATTCTAATTCCCTAGGTGTAGGGTGAAGTTTCTGCTTTTCTAAAAATCTCCCAGACGATTTAGAGGCTGCTGGTCCTTGGGGCACACTGATTAGTAAGGGGCTACACCATAATTACTACTACTTTTAGAACGTAATGTTTTGAAAAATATATTTGACTTTGCTTATAAATCTAAAGAAGTCCAGGTTTTTCTTATCAAGCAATGAATCAAAAAAGGTACACTTGGATCATTGATATGTATAGTACTCTAGGTGGTGATCCCAAATTTAATAGGCAGATGTTTGTTGCTCTCATCAACTTGTCAACATTCAGGCATTTCTGTCATGTCATTTTAAATCAATGTGATTATAGATTATAAAAAAATGTCAAAGGGTTTCTGGAGCAGTAACAAGTTTATTTGCCTGAGGTTATTTTTTCATGTAAAATATTCATAAGAGCTAGATAATTAAAATACTGTAATATAAATCGAATCAGATACCTCTTGCTACTTATGAACGGCTTAATACATGAACGGTACAGTGTTGTTGAAATTAGTTTCCTTCACAAGGGAGTGAAAAAAATACAATAAAATGTGAAAGAAGAAGGCATATAATAAATACTTCACTGTGTGCCAGCTATCTTCATTATTTTTTAAAACTGTCTAAATGAGGTCTACTGCAATATAGCCAGCCAAAAATGTATATATACTTCAATTACAACATTTTCCAGCATACATTTATTTGAAAAAGATTTATTAAGCACCTATAACACAAAAGATACTGTGCATATATGAAAATAAAAATATAAGTTGTGGGAAAAGTAGTTGTATGTATTATCATCTCTTTCGGTGGTAAAATTGAAAACATTTCTATGAACTTCTTCATCACTTGACTTGTATCTCCAAGTAGCTCATCACTAAATAAACTTAGAAAGCCATCTTGGTAAATCAGAGAGGGCTTTCTCCACCATTTTCCCCAAGTCTCCATTCTTCTGCCTCATTAAAAAGCCTACTCACTTTCAGCATGTGAAGCAAAAAGTAAAGTGAAGATCATCCCCCTCCTCAAAGAAGTACAGCTGGTATAACAGGCTGAAAGCAATCTAACAGCCAATAAGCTTCACACAAGGATTACAGTCAATAAAGTCTATTCAGCATCACTTGTAAAAAAAGATATTTCAATCAACAAATTTCACAGAACTGGAAAAAACCACCTTAAACTTCATATGGAACCAAAAGAGAGCCCATATAGCCAAGACAATCCTAAGCAAAAAGAACAAAGCTGGAGGCATCACGCTACCTGATTTTAAACTATGCTACAAGGCCATAATCAAAACAGCATGGTACTGGTACCAAAACAGAGATATAGACCAATGGAACAGAACAGAGGCCCTGGAGGCAATGCTGCACACCTACAACCATCTGATCTTTGACAAAGATGACAAAAACAATCAATGGGGAAAGGATTCCCTGTTTAATAAATGGTGTTGGGAAAACTGGCTAGCCATGTGCAGAAAGCAGAAACTGGACCCCTTCTTGACACCTTACATTAAAATTAACTCCAGATGGATTAAAGACTTCAACATAAGACCTAACACCAGAAAAACCCTAGAAGAAAACTGAGGCAAAACCATTCAGGGCATAGGCATAGGCAAGGACTTCATGACCGAAACACAAAAAGCATTGGCAACAAAAGCCAAAATAGACAAATGGGACCCAATTAAACTCCAGAGCTTCTGTACAGCAAAACAATCAATAGAGTGAACCAGCAACCAACAGAATGGGAAAAAATTTTTGCAATCTATCCATCTGACAAAGGGCTAATATCCATAATCTACAAAGAACTAAAACAGATTTACAAGAAAAACCCATCCAAAGGTGGGCAAAGGATGTGAATGGAAAATTTTCAAAAGAAGACATATATAAGGCCAACAAACATATGAAAAAATGCTCATCACTAATTATTAGAGAAATGCAAATCAAAACCACATTGAGATACCATCTCACACCAGTTAGAATGGCGATCATTAAAAAATCTGGAGACAACAGATGCTGGAGAGGATGTGGAGAAATAGGAACACTTTTATACTGTTGGTGGGAGTGTAAATTAGTTCAACCATTGTGGAAGACAGTGTGGCGCTTCCTCAAGGACCTAGAAATAGAAATTCCATTTGACCCAGCAATCCCATTACTGGGTGTATACCCAAAGGATTACAAATCATCCTATTATAAAGACACATACACACGTATGTTCATACTGGCACTGTTTACAATAGCAAAAACTTGGAACCAATCCAAATTCCCATTGATGATAGACTGGACAAGGAAAATGTGGCACATATACACCATGGAATACTATGCAGCCATAAAAATGATGAGTTTGTGTCCTTTGTAGGGACATGGATGAATCTGGAAACCATGATTCTCAGCAAACTGACACAACAGAAAATCAAACACCACATGTTCTCACTCATAGGTGGGTGATGAACAATGAGAACACGTGGACACAGGGAGGGGTGCATCATACGCTGGGGTCCGTTGGGGGGGGTGCAAGGGAGGGACAGCAGAGGAGTAGCGAGGTCAGGGAGGGATAACACTGGGAGAAATGACAGATGTAGGTGATGGGGGGATGAAGGCAGCAAACCACATTGCCATGTGTGTACCTATGCAACAGCCCTGCATGATCTGCATATGTACCCCAGAACCTAAAGTACAATAGAAAAACAAAGATTTTTCAATCAACAATTTTTGTTGTTACACTAAATGCCAACAATTAAATAAATCATTTAAAATGTCAAACTATGTAATCCCAGCACTTTGGGAGGCCAAGGCGGGTGGATCACGAGGTCAAGAGATCGAGACCATCCTGGTCAACACGGTGAAACCCCGTCTCTACTAAAACTACAAAAAATTAGCTGGGCATGGTGGCGCGTGCCTGTAATCCCAGCTACTCAGGAGGCTGAGGTTGCGGTGAGCCGAGATCGCGCCATTGCACTCCAGCCTGGGTAACAAGAGCGAAACTCCGTCTCAAAAAAAAAAAAAAAAAAAAGTCAAACTAAAAGCAGATATTTAGATCCAGCATCTTAAAGCATTTCTATAAAGCTTTATTTTGTGATTAAAAAAATCTACTCACCAATGTTAATTTTGCATTCACTTTATGTGTCAGTTATAATGAATTTACTATTAATGCAGCTATCATGTTTACTTAAAGAAAACTTCCACTGTCATTATTTAATGTAGCATAAAAATAAAACTAATATTTTAATTCTTCCTCTTATTCCTGTGTAAACAGTCATTCATCAAAGGGTAAAAAGGTTCAGTTATGTGGGATAAATAAGTTCTGGAGATCTAAACAAAGCATGGTGGCTATAATTAATAATGCTGCGTTATATAGTGTAGCTGAAATGCACTAAGATAATTGATTTTAAGAGTTCTCACCACATCAAAAAAAACAAAGATGTGAGGTGACAGACAAATTAATTTGATCATTTCACAATGTTCATGTATATCAAAACAT